CACTCATCCACTCCAGTTCACATGCATGTTATTTTTGAACTCGTAGTGGGTAACACTGGATGTGAATACAGTTTTTTCAAATATTAATACATTCGTTAAATTTAATTCATTAATTTTAGTTTATTTTTTAGATTTAAGTTGCATGTCTATCAATAGATGGACATAGGCTCCATCTATCAATAGATGGCGCCAGAAGTAACTTTATTTTTAAAGGACTTCATACAATACATTTTTTTTTAACTATATTGCAGAAAGACCTTTATGAATAATTTTCATTCTTTTTTTTAAGTTTATCTGGCGCCATCTATTGGTGGATACATGAAAAAACTAAAATGATGAATTAAATTTATTGAATGAATCAATATTTGAAAAAAACTAATCCACTACAATTTAAAAAAAAAAAAATTTGTACTGGAGGATGAATAAAAAGTATGTTATGAACGATTGCAAAATGTGAACAAGATATATATAGGGAGAGTGTGAGCTAATGGAAGAAAAGGGAGTCTTCCGTGTGTTAAAAGAAAAGGTCAGAGGGCACTTTTCAGATAACCGTTATAAGCATGCTCAACAAGAATCTTGCAACTGATGGTCTAGAACAAAATGTATTTCCAGTGCAGGTTACATGAACAGCCATTGCCATGTATTGATCAGTACAGAGAGGAGCATGTATTTGTGGGAGAGGAGATGGATGAATCCGAAATCGAACGCTTTGGAACGAATGGCGGGACGCAGGTGCTCTGAAGAATCGTTTGCAGAGTCTCCTACGATTGTCGCCAATTAACGGAAGGGTCGTTTTATCCCGCGAATCATTTTTATTTTATTATTTTTCAGAATGTTTTTCCAATTTTTATCCGATTGTAACTTTTTTGTTCGTTGTTGATTACAGTTTGTTTATTGTTTATTCATTCAATTCCTACTATTAGTTCACGCTCTCCCTATATATATCTTGTTAAAATTGATAGTCGTTCATGAAATACTCTTTATTCATCCACTGATGTTCAAATACATTTTTTTTTTACCTTGCAGTGGATGACACTGGATGCTAATGCAGTTTTTTCAAATATTGATTCAGTTATTAGATTTAAATCATTCATTTTAGTTTTTTATGGATTTAAGTTTCATATATCTACCCATAGATGGCGCCAGAAGTAACTTCATTTATAAAGAACTTTATGCAATAAAGTGCCAAAAAAAAAAATAATAATAATTGACTTAATTTTTTTTTTTTTTTTTTTTTAATGTTGTTTTTATTTTTAACATGGATATTTCAATTTATTTATATTGAAATAGTGTTTTTCATTTCTTTCATGTTAGCAGGATTTTGTATTTGTTTAGGAAGTGGCCTGCTATCTTAAAATGCCTTGTTAAAAAACTTGTTTGTAATATTCTTAGCTGATTTAATAAATCCAGTTTGCATTCAATCAATGTATTTGTTCATAGAACTATATGCGGCTTGATGGTCAAATGGTTAGCGCTCTGGCCGTTGGTACCGAAGTTCCAGATTCGAATCCTGGCGGTGGCATGGATGTTTGTTAATGGTTCAAAATCCACTTTAAACTGTAGATCCCGGTCTGTTTAACCTAAAAAGTGCACAAAATGACCGTAGAGCGACAAACCAAACCCAAAACAAATAATATAAAAAAAATAATAAAGTCAATTCCTACTTTTTAAATTAGAAATTTTCCTCTTACATCTGGCGCCATCTATCGGTAGATACATGCAACTTAAATCTAAAGAAAACTAAAACTAATCAATTAAATATAATTACTGAATTAATATTTGAAAAAACTGTATTAAAATCAAGTGTCATCCACTAGAAGTTCAAAAAAAATGTATTCGAACTCGAGTGGATGAATAAAAAGTATTCTATGAACGATTGAATATTTGAACAAGATATATATAGGGAGAGTGTGAACTAATAGAAGGAATTGAAAAAGGCAGTCCTTCGTGTGTTAAAAGAAAAGGTCAGAGGGCACTTTTCAGATTACCATTATAACCTTGCTGAACAACAATCCTGTTTGTATCTTGGAATGTGATGGTCCAAACAAAATGGATTTCCAGTGCAAGTTACATTAACAGCCATTGGCATGTATTGATCAGTGCAGAGAGGAGCACTTATTTGCGGGGGAGGGATGGATGAATTCGAAATCGAACGCTTTGGAACGAATGGCGGGACGCAGGTGCTCTGAAGAATCGTCTGCAGAGTCTCCGGCGATTGTCGCCAATTAATGGAAAGGGTCGTTTTATCCCGCGAGACATTTTTATTTTATTTTATTGTTCAGAATGGTTTTCCAATTTTTATCAAATTGTAACTTTTTTGTCGTTGTTGATTGCAGTTCATTTATTTTTTTAACATGGAGAGTTCAATTTATTTACAATAGAACCTCTGTAAGTCGAACTTCAAGGAATACGTCAAATAATTCGAGTTGTTATAGAGTTTTCGACTTACGCGGATTTTGTAAGGAAATATTCGATTTGCTTAGGTTCTTTCGAACTTATTTTGAGTTAGAGAGGTAAAATAAATAAAAATTCAAATTTTTTCAGTTTACATTTCACAGCACACATTTTTCAATTCTTTCTATTAGCTCACACTCTCCCTCTATATATCTTGTTCACATTTTCAACCGTTCATAAGATACTTTCTATTCATCCACTCAACTTCAAATGCGTTTTTTTTTTTAACTTGTGACACTGGATGTTAATATAGTTATTCTTTTATTAAATTTAATTAATTTTTAATACTCTAAATTGAGTTTTAGCAGTTTGTAATGATAATTCAAACCAACAGGCAATAGCTCAATCGGTAAATCATTTCAGTATATTTCTCGTGTAGGTAAAAAATCAATTCTTACAAAAGTTAAATTCTTACGAAAATCAATAATTTTTTGATGAATCTTTGAAAATTTTTGCTTTAAGTAGACGTTTTATCCAAATGATTTTCGTGAGTGAGTTAGTGTTTGTTACTTAGTGGCTAGAATGAAGGATTTTTCTCAAAAAATAATATTGAAGAACTTTGATTTTGCCACTTAATAGTGTGATTCTGTCATATGTATATGCATATTTATATTAATTGTAATTTGTCAATAAACAAGTAATATATATAAAAAAATTAAAGTCAATTCCTTCTTTTTTTTCACTCTATCATAGAAAGTACTTTATAAATAATTTTCATTCATTTTTTTAAGTGTATCTGGCGCCATCTATGGGTAGATATATGCAACTTAAATCTAAAAAAAAAACTAAAATGGATTAATTAAATTTAATGAATGAGTTAACAGTTGAAAAAACTGTGTTAACATTACGTGTCATCCGCTACAAGTTGACAAAAAAATGTATTTGAACTGGAGTGGATTAATAGAAAGTATTTTATGAACGATTGGAAATTTGAACACGATATATAGAGGGAGAGTGTGAGCTAATAGAAGGAATTGAAAAAAGTAACTAAAATAGAATTTTTCTTCGTTAACCTAAGTAGGAATTGACTTTTAAAAAAAAAAAAATTTATATTGCTTGCTTATGTTCACTTTCGAAATTTCATTTTCATACGTCATTTTTTACCTAATTCTGTTTTCTCAAAGAATTAAGCTCGTCTCTCCCACATTGTCTTGTACTATACGGGAGAAAAATCAATCTTTGTGAAAATGTGTTTCTGCCCCCCCATCCCCCCACCCCATTCCCTGTGTCACAGGGTTGAGGGGAAAGGGGGAAACAAACGAAAAACTATGTTTTCACAAGCATGAATAAAACATGCCCGGTCGAAATATGTACATATTCTTCTGTAAGAGTGTATTTGAAAAATCTTGCCCCGTTCCCTTGAACACTACATCTACAAGGACTGCTTTTTTTTTTTGTTTTTTTTATCATCATGCCAAGTTCGCGTTTGTTAAAGTAATTATGTCGTCTTTTTACGGGGTATTGTTGGCCGCCCTATTCCCAACGCATGTTAGACTGGGAGCTACACTTTAAAGTGGATTCCGAACCACTCGAAACATCCAGCGCACCGCCGGGACTCGAACCTGTGATACCAAGCGCCAGAGTGCTAGTCATTTGGCCATTCAGGCCCCAAACATTACATATATATATAGGGTTGGCAGCCCTATGCCCAACGCTCTACGATCCTGCTAGACTGGGACCTACGGTTTAAAGTGGATTCCGAACCACTCCAAACATCCACGGCACCGCCGGGACTCGAACCTGTGATACCAAGCGCCAGAGTTCTAGTCATTTGGCCATTCAGGCCCCAAACATTACATATATATATATAGGGTTGGCAGCCCTATGCCCAACGCTCTACGATCCTGCTAGACTGGGACCTACGGTTTAAAGTGGATTCCGAACCACTCCAAACATCCATGGCACCGCCGGGACTCGAACCTGTGATACCAATCGCCAGAGTGCTAGTCATTTGGCCATTCAGGCTCCAAACATTACACACACACATATATATAGGGTTGGCAGCCCTATGCCCAACGCTCTACGATCCTGCTAGACTGGGACCTACGGTTTAAAGTGGATTCCGAACCACTACAAACACCTGTGGCACCGCTGGGACTCGAACCCGAAACCTGTGGTACCGAGCGCCAGAGCAAACACACACAACCATATATATGCTTCAAATAATTTTTTGCTAAATTAATTGACAAACATTAAAATTCTTTTCTACCTTGACAGTGTGAGACACCTTGACTAAAACTGTGTTTCTTACAAGCATGAATAAAATGTGCACATATGCTTCTGTAAAATCTTGCCCCTGAGCACTATGTCTACAAGAGGACTCTTTTTTTTTATCATCATGGCAAGTTGGCGTGAGTAAAAGTAATCATACTTATGTGGGATTGCTTTATTGGAACACTGCAACAGTGGCGTCTTTTATTATTCTAATATCTGTCTCATTTTACTTATCCATCATAGAATCGTGGAAAATGGAGTAAACATGTTTTTCCCGTTTTATATGGTATTCGATGACAGAATATATATGACTATGTATATATATATATGCCAACGGCCATACCATGCTGAATATACCGGTTCTCGTTAGATCACGCGGCGCGCTCAGTACTTGGGTGGGTGACCACCTGGGAACACCGCGTGCCGTTGGCATTCACACATTTGGGACCTGAATGGCCGAGTGTCTAGCGCTCTGACGCCACAGGTTTTGGGTTCGAATCCCGGCGATGCCATGGATGTTTGTAGTGGTTCGGAATCCACTTTAAGCCGTAGGTCCCGGTCTCGTATGACTGTAAGAGCGTCACGGAGACAAAGTCAGACTTCTACCTACGGGTGCTCCATCGCAACAGAAGCTGCTTCCCTCCCCTTCAATCATGAGTCCATATGGGCTCGTGGGCTTGGCCAGCCAAGTGAGATAAGAAACAACAACATATATATATATTCTGGACATTGGAATCTTGGGGTTTTGGATTCTTGTTTACTTATTATGCTATCAATTCAATTACCGTATAAAGTAAGAACTGTTTTAACTGTGCACAAGCGTCTCTCGCGCTTTTTCATGAAAGATTGTGGTTTTATGAAGCTTTTTTTTTTCTTTTGCAATATACACTCAAGAGCCAAAACATTATGACCACCTGTCACCTTTCATCCCATCACACACATAAGTAAGTGAAAGAATGATTCTTCAGACTCTCCAGCAGCAGTTAAATACCACTTCCACCTGATCACGTGCCTTCCACGTCATCGGGGCGAGTTCATTGCAAAATGTAGGGGTGGTCATAATGTTTTGGCTCTTGACTGTATATTGCATATATTGGGTTTAATAATTATCAGGCGTTTCTTTGAGGTGCTATATATTAATGAAAATGTACAATATTTTATAAATTTATGAATTAAAATATCAAAATATATAGGTTATAAAAATGCATGTCGATAATCATACCCATACACATTTGTGAGTTGGGTTCCAACCATAAGAAATCCAATTTACGATGATTTCCCAATGGATGGTTCAGGTTCTGTCCCACCAAACACATCACATTGTCTTCTGACAGCGCACGTCCTTCGTTATTCCTTTTATTGTTTTATCCACTCAGTCTTAGAGAGCATCGTAGGCTCAACATGTTATATTTTTTATGTTCATTTTATTTCGAAATTTTCCTTTTGATACGCCATTTTGTGCCTTCATTCTGTTTTCGTAAAAAATTAAGTTTTTCTCCCTCTTTGCCTTCTACTACTGCTACGGGAGAAAAAACAATCTTGTGAAAAATGTGTTTTTCCCCCATTTCGCTGTGCCTCGGAATTGAGGTGGGGGAAAACGGGGAAAAACAAATGAAAAACTGTGTTTTCTTACAAGCATGAATAAAACATGTTGGACGAAATGTGTGCATATTCTTCTGTAACAGTTGTAGCTATACTAGCAGCTCGTTGTGTCAGGATGGAATACTCTCTTTACAATTATATTAATATTTTTATTTATAGAATTAATATATACATACACATGGCACCCTGTGTTTCTATTACAATAGTATTAATATCTAAATGCCAAGAGCCGGTCCCCTGGCCGTCTGTTTTGCTCTGACGCTCCTGGCGTTCACCTCGTGGTCTCAAGATCTCACCGCAACTGCCACTTACCACACTGGACCACAGTTAAGGACCCAGTTATTGGTCACAGTTACAGTCATAACCGCGACCTATATCAATGCAGTTATGCACGTTAAACCATACACAGTGTATTTGAAAAATCTTGCCCCCTTTCCCCTATGCTATACCTACAAGAGACTCCGGTTTTTTTTTCTTTCTTCCAATTCCTTCCTACTAGCTCACACTCTCCCTATATATATCTTGTTCAAAATTTTCAATCGTTCATAAAACACTTTTATTCCATCCACTCGAGTTGGAATATCGTTATTTTTAACTCTTGCACTGGATGACACTGGATGTGAATACAGTTATTTTCAAATGTTAATTTATTCATTCAATTGAATTAATTCATTTTAGTTTTTTAGATTCAGGTTGCATGTATCTAATAATAGATGGCGCCACATGCAAGAGTAAAATTTCAACTTAAAAGTAGAATTGACTTTAAAACATTTTTTATACTACTTGTTTTGAAAAAGAATTCAATCTTCTCTCGCAGCTTGGTTTGTAAACTGGATAAATTACTGTAGTGTTGTTGTCGTTTCTTATCCCACTTTTGGCCAAGCCCACGAGCCCATACGTACTCATGGTTGAAGGGGAAGGAAGCAGCTTCTGTTGGGGATGGAGCACCCGTAGGTAGAAGTCTGACTTTGGCTCCGTGACGCTTTTACTGTACTGTACTGATTACTGTAGTGGTATATAATTAACATAGTTCAAAAGAAAGATGGAAATCATTTAACAATCAAAATAATCCGATAACAATTTTCTGATTATTTTTTGTATTTTAGTTTGTTCCATAATGTTATTTTATCGAGAAATTTGACTTTATATCGAATATTAGTAAAATAAAATACGTGAATTTGGGACGATGAACAGCACTATCGTCTCTACAAATCATGTTACGAGATTTTTTTAAAAATTAAGTTTTTCTCCATTGTTGTCTTGTACTATTGCTACGGACGGGAGGAAAATCAATCTTTGTGAAAATGTGTTTTCCCCCATTCCCTGTGGTGCCCCGGGATTGAGGTGGAGGGAAAGGGGGAAACAAACGAAACACTGTGTTTCTACAAGCATGAATAAAACATGCCGGACGAAATGTATACATATTCTTCTGTTGGAGTGTATTTGAAAAATCTTGCCCCGTTCCCTGAGCATTACAACTGCAAGAGGACTCGTTTTTTTCAATTCCTTCTATTAGCTCACACTCTCCCTATATATATCTTGCTCAAATTTTCAATCCTTCATGAAATACTTTTTATTCGTCCACTCTAGTTCGAATGCATTTTTTATTTTTTTTTCTTGAACTTGTAGTGGATGACACTGGATGTGAATGCAGGTTTTTTCGAATATTAATTTATTCATTAAATTAAATTTATTAATTTTAGTTTATTTTAGATTTAAGTTGCATATATCTACCAATAGATGGCGCCAGATAAACTTAGCATTATAGACTTTCTGCAATATAGTGTGAAAAAAGTAGGAATTGACGTTAATTTTTTTTGTTTTTGTTTTATATTTTTATCATGCCAAGTTGGCGTGAGTAAAAGTAATCATACTTATGTCAAATTGCTTTATCGGAATAACTGCAACAGTCGTGTCTTTTATTATTCTAATATCTGTCTCATTTTCTTAGCCATCATAGAATCGTAAAAATTTGAGTAAACATGTTTTTCTCGTTGTGTCCAAAAAGTAAGTTAAATTTCCCGGGCATATGGTTTTCAATTTTTTTTTCTTCTTCTTTTTTAAGTTGCTGGCATTATCCTTGACATCTGTGTGAAATTTTACGTCAAAATATTCATTAATGCTTGAGTTACGCTTGGTTTTGTGAAGTTTAGCGCAAGTCCTTGGTCAATTCATTCAGGAATCAGTTTTATCGTCTCACAAAGCCAAGCGTAACTCAAACACTCATGAATATTTTGACGTGAAATTTCACACAGATGCCACCGAAAGAAAGAAAAAAAAATTGAGATATCATATGTTCGGGAATTATAAATTGAATACTGGTCTTACTTTTTGGACTCAGTAGTGATTTTTGGATGTTAGTTTCAGAGAGCTTCGTAAGCTGAACATATTTACTTTTAACTTTTATGTTCATTTTATTTCGAAATTTCCTTGTGTGTCATTTTATTCCTGTTGTTGTTGTTGTTATCGTTATACATATGGTTATGTGGTATAACAGCGTGAAATAACTCATCACAAAAGGCAGGTGGCAGCACATTGCAGTGCAGTGTATATAAAGAATACCACATAATACGACATTCCACACTTCACTTAAGGCCAGAATATACAAGAGCGTATATTCTGGCTTTTGGCAGGTGGTCACATTAACGGGACTGGACTGTGTATATAGTATGTGTTGTTGTGGTGTCCCTCATGGAATGTAGGGAAGATGGGTGCAGCTTCTATTGTGATGGAGCACCCGTAGGTAGAAGTCTGACTTCTGCTACGTGACTCTCTTATAGGCATATGAGACCGGGACCCACGGCCTAAAGTGGATTCCGAACCACTCCAAATATCCATGGCACCGGCGGGACTCGAACCCGAAACCTGCGCCACCGAGCGCTAGACACTCGTCCATTCAGGAGTGTGCCTTTATTCTGTTTTCTCAAAAAATTAAGTTTTTCTCCCTGGCCGTCTTTGCACTGCTATGGGAGGAAAAATCAATCTTTGTGAAAATGTGTTCCCCCCCCTCCCATTCTCTGTGGTGCCCAGGGATTGAGGGGGCAAGGGAGGGGGTGAAGAGTGGAACAAACGATAATCTGTGTTTTTTGTACAAGCATGAACGAAAGCCGGACGAAATGTGGACATATTCTTCTGTAGGAGTGTATTTGAAAAATCTTGCCCCGTTCCCTGAACACTATATCTACAGGAGGACTCTTTTTTTCAATTCCTGCTATTAGCCCACGCTATCAGTATATATATCTTGTTCAAAATTTCAATCGTTCATAAATTACTTTTTATTCATCCACTCGAGTTCGAATACATTTTTTTTTAACTTCCGGTGGACGACACTGGGTGTGAATACAGTTTTTTCGAATATTAATTCAGTACTTAAATTTAATTAATTAATGTAAGTTTTTTTTTTTTTTTTTTTTCATTTATGTTGCATATATCTACCAATAGATGGTGCCAGATATACTTAAAAAGAATGAATGAAAGTTATTTCTAAAGGACTTTATGCAACACATTGAAAAAATGGGGACCTGAATGGGAGTGACTTTTTTTTAAAATTTTTATCAGGCTATAATATATATATATATATATTATATATATATTGTTTTTTTTTTATCATGTCAAGTTCGCGTGAGTAAAAGTAATCATACTTGCGACAGACGTGTCTTTTATTATTCTAATATCTGTCGCATTTTCTTATCCGCCATGATGTTGTAAATCATTTGAGTAAATATGTTTTTCCCGTTTTATATGGTTATTCAATGATTGGATAGATAGATATTTTTAATATTGAAGATGTAAAATATTCTATTCGAACAATTTTTATTTTTTTATT